ACAGTTGGTTAAATGTAAGATAAATGCTTTCTAGCAGCTACCTACTCGCATTCTTTTGAATAAAGGTATCCATCCCTACGTTTTGGAAAGGCTACACAAGCAGTTAAGATTCCTTTTGGTTAAATGGCTTGATATGTTGAGTAACAGCTGCAGATGTTTACTTCAAGGTTGAAAAGCAGTGAATGCAAGCTGCAGAGGATTTTAGTGGTCATAAAGAGATATGAATGTCTATTGTATTTTTGCAATATGAAGTGTGCTCTCCGTTCCTTAATGCAATGAATGAAAATAAACATAAATTGTAAATTATAACTATAAGTGATGATTTCCGCCATTTTAAGAAGTTACGGATTTCTAAGAAAAGCTCTAAGCGTATATTAGGCTCTATGTGTACAGATGTAATGCAATTTCTGTATTTCCTTTACTCGAAATGAACATACACGAAGCTATTACAGTACGTCAGTATTGTTAAATTAAGCGCGGGATCAAACAGCTACATTTAATGAATGACTCAAATTAAACTCTGTGTTTTTACGAAACAAAGAATTTTAGTATATTTTTTAGTTCTAGAAATAAATCGTAAACTTAAAACAGTAATTATTAAATTTATCTTAGTTATATATTAGTTAAGCTGGTTTAATTTAATTGATATTTTTTGACAAATAATGCTTGAAAATTTCATTTCTTGTGAGTTATAAATATGTACCCAACCACAGACATTCTGTCTAATAAAATGCATAGCCTTGTATGTTACATTAATTAAAATTTTACGGAATGTTGAGTTTAAAAAAAGAAATTTCGAAAATTTTGAGAGTACATTATTGTTTATTATTAAGAAACTTACGTTTTAATAAACATTTCTTTCAATAAAATAAGATGACAATATTTTCGCTCGTAATCGAAACACAAAGATAATATCATGCAATGGAATTGCATTTCATATATGAACAAAACGCATTTTAAAGGTATAAAACATAGGTACTAAATCCAATGTTCATCGAATTTTCTAGAACCTTGATTATAACAGTTTTGAACAAGATATCGTTTTGTATGCAAAAAGAGGAAAGAGAGGATTCAATCCCGTTTTCTATATAATCTTGGAGAGAATAAGCGCAATTTTGAATCATTGATACGATCTTCCTGAATCTGATGGATCCAAATCTTAATTTCGAAATAATGCATAAATTTATTAACTGCATAGAAAAATTCCATTCAGTATATTAGCAAATATAACTGCTTTTTGTAAGTAGTTGTGAATAAAAAAGGAATATAGATATATTCCGATCCAATAGTTAATATTGATCCCTATAGTTTCAAGTTACATTGCTGTTACGGGTTTTATTGAGTATCCAAATTTTAAATAAATAAATAAAAAGAAAAATTTGAAATCTCTCGGATTTTATATTACGCTCAAAGGGAAGTTTCTTTCTCTTTACACACATATACACGTTTCGAGAGCATTTAGGTTAAATCCTCTTTGGATTAAAAGTATTTTAAAACAGTATATCTCTGGAATTTGCGATAGACATTATCGCGCGCTGGAGATAAAAATGTTTTATTCCATACAAAGTTGCCACTGGTCTCTTTGAAATCATTGAGTTTTTAATCAAAAATTCATTAAAGTTTTACCATATGTGAAATAGATAATAAAATAAATTCGAAATTCAAAATTCGGGCTTCCAGGTGCCCACATTCGGGTGGAGGACTCCGTTATTCAAAACGTTATTCAAAATTTGATAGCTCTAGGTATTATTGTTTTTCATAATGCGAGAAGCATAAATACATTCATGCAGATTAATCATTATTTAAGTTCTTTAACTATAATACAGGGCGATACTATTTGGTGACAACAATTTGAAAAGTAATTCAACGCTTTTAGTGATTCGACGCCAAATGCCGTTCGAGACCCTTCTGGTCTAGCGCCACTTTAAGCTAATAAAAGATTAAAATTATGACGTTAACCATCTCATGCGGGAAATCTCTAATGTAAAGAATCTCTCCTAAAAATTGCTCATTAATCTCTAGAATCTATTAATTAAATTCTAGCCAAACACGAAATTAATTTAAGTGGATCACTGCTATATACCCATTTAAAGTGCCTACTTTAAAATATGCCTTTTAATATTCTCCTTGTGATTAAAACTACATTAAATCAACAAGATTTTCATTTGCAGAGTTTGAATTATTTAAGTTAACATTTCCATTACGTGTTTTCTAGTTTCTTAGATTTTTAATATTTAAAGACAGTTTAAGCAATATATTAAATAGTTTGTAATGTTTACAATAACATTTAACTATTATCTCGTCAATATTCTCAATGCACATTATTTCTCAGAAAATGCTGAAATTAAGATTTTTACATAATAACTCATTTATCTCAATTGCGACTTGAAGGGCCTGATTTTTAAAATAATTTATTTCAAGGATAATTAATCACTATTTATTGTAAATGTACTTCTGAGAAGCTTCTGAATCTTTTTTAATTTCTTGAAATAAAAATTAAAGAAATTAAAAAGAATTTATCTTAAGATCAAAAATTATTATTTTGTAATTATTTGGTGATATTCTAAACATAAGGTTTAGAAAGTATAAAATGAATTCGCTGCTCAGAGTGTATGCGTGAACTAAATGAAAATGTAGCTCAAATGGGAATAAAACCGATTAAAATATTTCTCTTTACCAATAATTATTTTTTTCCTAATTAGACGATACAATTAGACGATGAGTTATTATAGTCTGTCACTTTGTGTACTTCAAGGTCATAGTGATCCTTTCCTCCTATCTAGGCTTGCAACATGAAAGTCACCATCATCACACAGAAGGGCCATCAGGGGAATCTAGAAAGTAAAATGATTCGATAATTTTCCGCAGCTGTCCTTGCCGTAGTTTATGAGTCAGCGTTTGGGGTAAAGGAAATGATCTCATATGCCTATTCTAAAGTAAGGAAAGTTAAATTCTAAAGTAAGGTTGGTTAAGGATTGAGGCAAAACACTCGAGGAAGTAACAAGAAGATTGCCTTTGTGGAAGACTTTTTAAAGAAAATTGGCTTAAGCTATGCCCCCCCTAAAAAAACACAAACATTTAGTGCAGCTAACCTTTTTATCGGAACGGAAACAGTAATAAATTATTATTCCTTAGCAGTTCATTTTTACTAGGCCCCATATGATGAGATGGAACTGAGAACGGGAACACTTTGTCTAACAGTAGCTTTAAGCTGCCGGTTATAAACGTAAACTACAATTCCGAATTTGATATCAAATCTCTGCAAGAAATATAGTTACATCAGTATTAAATAACATATGCGAGAAATATAGTTAAATCAGTATTAAAATAAGATTAAAAAAGTTACCATCTGGGATTGACAATTTCTACTTCTAATAGGATTCTAGACTACATATTCGGAACTAGTTTACTAACATGTCTTTTTTCTTTCCGAGTCAAGTATATTCATCTTTTATTGTAAATTTATATAGACGATTTTGATTTTTTGTAGTTTAAATTAAATAAAATAATAATATAGTTCGGCATTTTTGAAAAAGCTATAAAATTGAAGAGATTATTTTTTGAGTTTTTTATATTATCACATTAAGAACATTAAAGAGTTTTTTAATTAATCATTTTAATGTTAATTTTATTACCTTGCGTGAAAACAAATAGTATCTTAGTTTAGATTATTTTAACAGAAATAGGTTATTTGTACTATTGAAATCTGTGCTCGTCTGTTTGTTTGTTTGTGGTGGAGTTCGGGGGAAATTATTTCGACCATTCTCATATTCGTGTACGACTTTAATCACACAAGATATTAGTTAAAAACGCTGAAAACGCTAATTTTTGCCCTCATTTTTCTGAGTGGCAACAGTCTCGCACGCTGGAGATAAAAATCTGCTTTATTTCGAAAAGTGTTGCCACTGCTCACTCTGAAATCGTAGAGTTTGTTGATAAAAAATTGTAAGTTTTACAAAATATGAAATAAAAATAGCATTGCCAAATATTCAATATATTATTATAAGGTCATGTTCTGACGTTGAATAAAGCACGTTATTTCATGTGACGTCACAGCATATCCAAACATTTTCCTTATTGTCAGCACTTTAAACAAATAGAGGCTGTTGGCAACTTTTTTTTATTCAGATTAAAATAATTGATACGGTATGTCACTGTCACGTTAATTCTTCTTTTGATATTGAGAAAAAGTTGTTATATTACATTAAATTTAAATCATGACGTTATACATACCTGAAGTTTGGTTTTGACAACAAAAAATTATTTACGAATTGTTTGTTGCTTGGAAACAATGAAAAATTCATATTGAAATATTTTTATGCACTCTCTTTTCAGGTGTATATAGAATTCATAAAATTTGCTTTGGTCGCAGCTCGCAACTTTGTATAGAGTACATTAAATTAATAATTCATTTGATTTTCAGTTTTTCAGCACATAGAACTTATAAATATTGCTTTGGCCATTTAATTTCTTAACTTATCGAAAAAGGTTACATTTTATATTTTTTAACTGTAAAATCTTTCCTGAATGAAAGTGTGGAGAATCGAAAATATTAAGTTTTATTATTTTGCATTACACTAGTAGATATCAGTTTGGCCAACGAAATAAAGTAACGATAAACATTTTGAAACAGGTCTTTGAGGACCTTTATTCAAGTCTGCTAAATTCTGACAGCGGAAACTGTAGGGATTTATATTTATTTTGACTAACCAGTTAAGTTTATGTTTTTTTTTTCCTATAAGCCTTCATTCCCCTAATTGTCAATGCCGGAATGTTTAAATTTGGTAGCGTGCGTGAAGAAATGCAAATTCTACCAGTAGGAGAAAAGGCTTAAATACTGAGGCTCTAGCGCGGGATCTCAATTAATCACATATTTGGAATTTTTGTTGTATAAAATAAATTATTAGTTATATGAATCACCATGGAGTTCATTAAATGAAATTATTATAGGTGTACGCAGTTTAATATTTTGACCTCAAAAATATAAATTGAAAACTTACCAGGCAAACATTGTCTGAGACATAACATTGGTCTCCAGAGGCAGAAGTTCTGCACCACAAATGAGTTCCATTTTTTGCTTCACTCTGAAATAAGCAAATTATATTTTAGTTTGCAAGGAAAGAACATGAAAGTAATGGCATTATTCATGAACTTCAAAACTGTATTCCTGCGTTTCAGTTTAGAATTAAGTTTCTTTATCCATACACATATTAATTTCTCTTTCATTTCAGATCGCAATAAAAGACATTCATTTACAGCGCTAAGTTGAAAAAAATCTTTAAAATACAGCAAATTATAATTAACAAAAATACAATTTCTAAACTTAATATTGTTTAATTTTTATTTAATAAATTACTTGCTTGAGATCACGAAGTTTAGATCTTATTCATAATTAGATGATAACAATGTTTGTATATTCATATTATAAATTACAAATTTTGTTTTTTTATAAAAAGTCTAGAGATCTAGCTTTTAACCAGGATTTATTAATTTTACCTTTTCATTTCTCTTGAGTTAGATATTAATTTAAATATATATGACAAACATCTTATGTATTACACAGTTGCAATCATTATCCTCGGAGCTACTATAAATATGAATCGCATAAATTGAAGAGCGCTCGCGTAAAAACAGATGTATAAAGCTATTTTTATGAGTAATAGTAATTTTCGCTTTAAAGAAACTTAAAATGAGTATTCCTGTCAGAATAATAACACATATGCCGTATCACCTATCATCAGAACAATAATTGTTTCCGTATAGTATATGTTTTAAAACTTTATAATGACAAAGGTCCTACTCTCAGATATTTTATTAGCCATTTATTTCTATAAATAAAGTGAAGTTTACGATCAACGCATTTTGGCAAGTGTGACTTGCCTATTGATTGCATGCTTGAAAGAAATCTTAATTCCAATTTCAGTACCTACAAGAGACGGGTATTTATTATTTAATTGGGTTTCGTTTTAAAGTTATTTGTAGGTATAATACTATGTTTTTAGCCCAAAGGAGGTTAGCCCAGAAGGGCTATTAATTTCGTTTTGGCATTGCGTTGGTTCACGATAAATGCCGGTTCACTTTTCAAACTTTCGCCCCCAAATATTACAACTCTGTATATTACAATCCTGTACAGAATACGTTATGCAGATAAGTTTATAATATGGCAGGTGTCTTACGTCTTTCGGAAAGAGTAACACAAACAAAGCGATTTGCTTTCAAGTGACGGTTTTAGGAATCAAATATTAATGGTTTCATTATAAACGAAATTTAAACTCATCTGAAAATGACAAAGCAATTGATTTTACCCTTTAAGGGACGGTAAGAAGAGAATAAGTTACATAGATAAGTTTATAGTAGCTCAGTTTTATTTCGTCTTTTAGAAAGAGTAACATAAGCAAAGCGATTTTCTTTCAAGTGACGGTTTTAGGAGTCAAATATCTTAAAATAGACCAAAAACTGGCACTTTTAAATAATTATATACTAAAATTCGATTTCTTACGACTATTTTAAAGCAATCTCTATATAAAAATTAACTCTGGAACCAATATTGTGGTAAAACGTAGTTTTAAGTTTTAGCCATTTAAAGAGTCAAATATGGGTGTATGCACATTTGCAACTCAGAGAATGATGAAATTAAAGGTTATAAATATTTTACGTGAATTAACCATTTAATTTGATTTAAACCTTTACGGTAACTTCTACTTTCCGCATCCTTCACCAGAATGCAAATTAGTCGTTTTCCGGGAGAAAATTAGTTGTATCCCGGGTTAGCGACTCGCTTTCAATCCAGAGCAAGTAAAAGAGATTAAGTTCTATATTTGAAATTGGTAAATCCTTAAGTAAAAACGCATATTTTATCAATGTTTGTCCTTTACAGCTTATGTATTTAAATTACATATTAATTTCACATTAAAATTATTTGCATTTATAACAATGGTAAGAACTAGTATAATGCTTCTCATTTCGTATTAGTACGCTCACAGAACTTCATGCATCACTAATACTACATAACAAACAAAAAGGAAAGAATCTGCTACTGTTTTGATTTTAGTGATATTTACAAACGCTTAAATTTTTACTAATGCTAAACTTTAATGATACAATTACTAATGCATTACTAATGCTAAATTTTAACAATCTCTTTATAATGAGTATTTTAACGAAATTCTGAAAATATCCTTCAGTGCATTATTCTTGAATATAGATATTAGAAAGGAAATACCATTTTCTAAAAATTCAGATGCAAATGAATGCTACAAAATGTAAGAATTAAGTTAGAAAAATACAAAAAAAAAAAATTATATTTACCCCCCAGTCTGGAGTCGATGCCCGCTTTGGGATCTTTTCGCTTTCATTTTCATCTTCCGATGTGCCTTTCCTAAAAAATAAACAGATGTGGTTGAATTCTGTGGGTTTAGCTATAAACGCATTTTTAGTAAATAAGTAAAGTGGAAATTATACGTAGTTTATTAATACATATTTATGTAAAAAATTCTGAATTGGTAAACAGGTTTGACTGAATTATATTTTAGAGTAAAAGTACAGTACTCTATTTTAAGATTAACAGGTGTCTGGAGGCATAAGTTGCATACCATAGAATATGTGCTAACAAATGCAGAATTTCAAGGTTTTTAATTTTAGTAAAGGAAAAAGACAAATTTATCTTTATACCAGCAGAAAAAGACGATTTGAAGAGCTTATGTAAAAGAAATTATATGTATCTATTAGCCTGCTCAAAATGACTTTTGTAGCGTTCGAGTTGTCGGACTATCGGTAATTACGAGATAATATCAGATTCGAGATTAATTCTTTCGAGATAATATCAGTTTTTTTTCCTACGGTCTATGCTTCCAACCTTTTTTATTTATTTTATTTCAATTTTCAAGATTTTTCTCATCGGGAGAACAATTAATTGTGGTTTCGGTTGGCATATCTGGCAATGTCTTTCATATTTTTCGAATTAGTTTTTTATATTTAATATATCTATCTAATAATTTACCGTGTAAAGTTCTTGATAGAATACCAAATATTAATTATGATAATTTCAGTTAAGTAGCTAAATTTAGAATCAAAAGGGTGGAGAAGATATTTAACTAAACTTTCCTCACATAACTGGATATTGGCATTTACTTCATTCTTCTATAGGAAGATAAATTAATACTTGTTGGCTAGTAAGTTAGCTATCTTTAATTAAGCTTTTAGTTCTTATATTGTTTTATGCTTTCTCTTGTTACATTTATAAGTCTATAATACTATCGAAAATTTAATTGAATATTCCTATTTTCTTGTTTCCTGCTCATAATTTAACACGTTCGCTGCCGCTAATTAATCACGAGTTACCTCGTAGGCCGAAATTTGTGTTTAGACGCCAGCTACGAGTTAGTTCGTAGAACGTTTTAGTTTTACCTACGCCGCATGCTATCAAACTTCTATTTTCATGTCCTTTGAAGGTATCGCTTTGGGGATTAGAAAAAAAAAAACATAACAACTTGTTGCAATTAAAGACAGTTATTCCTAATATAAGTATAATATAAGTAATTATAAAGTAAATAACATAGGAACTGTAGAAATAATCAAGCAATTTATAATAATTTTTTTATAATAATTGTGCTAAAAATAATCAATCTTTGTTCTAACAAACGAATATACTCATACTCAACTACGAATATACTCGCACGTTGGCGCTGTCATAAAACATTTTATAGGAAACACCGACTACGATATAACTTGTATAATTAATAAAGCAATCAAAAATTATCTAAATCAGGGTTTCTTAATTTTTTTGGTGTAGGGATCCCATAATATTTGCGAAAATTTGTGGTACCCCATAAGCATTGCGCATATACGACACACGCGACAGTGAAACTTTCAGTTTCTTCACTTGTAATATACCGGTGTTCAGCGATGTTGTAGTTTTAAGTCATTAACTTTAATTTTAATTCGAACGTTTTCATTTTTTCTTTGCCTGTATGGTCTTTGTCTAGCTTCAGATACATTATGTGAAAATATTTGGTAATTGTAAAATTATTATAATAAATTAGAGAAATATCAAAATTGCTAAAATTTTTAGTGACCCCGTTCTAAATTAAATATCTTTCCCATAAAGACATGGTTTGTATTTTTATTTTACAATTAATTAATTAAAATTTTTTAGCGTGGTTGAAACGATTTTGAAAATGTTTCTCGACAGCGAATGCATTAAAGCAGGCTTTTAAACGTTCCTATTGCGGAATTTCTTTTAAATATTACATAATTGTGCATTTATGTATTTAGTACTAGTCTCCGTAATAAGCTAAAAAAACTGAGGTGCAGGGACAGCGAATGCATTAAGCAGGCTTTTAAACGTTCCTAATGCGGAATTTATTTTAAATATTACATAATTGTGCATTTATGTATTTAGTACCAGTCTCCGTAATAAGCTAAAAAACTCAGGTAATTATTTAAAAGAGGCAAAAACAATATTAAAATATGTTTAGCATACATCACAAGTGTTTTATTTTCTAATACCTACTTCAGTTTCACAGAAGAATTATACTTATCAGATATCGAATATAAATGTGCATTTATTTACATATTTAAATTTTGCTTATTCTTTTTTCTTTTATTTCCTGAGCGTAAGCTAACTGCAAGAGTAGCATCTTAAAATTTATTTTCCGGCTGACATTTTTAAAGTTCCCTGATCTAAATAATGGAATTAATTTAGAAATTATCAAAATATTAATTTATTTGATATCATTTTAAAAATTATTGAAATAAAATTAAACGTAATCGAAAGACGAATACAGTCTTCTGGACGTCATATTCAAAATATGTCAGTTAATTTAATGTAACAAAAGTTAAAGAGAAGTAATAAATACATAGAAAATACCATACACTTTTTATATATACTACTACCGGGCAAGCCCGCCAGCTGAGCGGGCTGAAGCCCGCTTATCATTATTCGTTTTTAAAAGATTTCCCATTTTGAATTTCGCCGGTATTCGAAAGTTGGACCGAACTACCAGTGTTCAGCGATTTTGCGCGGCCTGCGGCCGCTTTGTTCACATATGCATACAGAAGATACTGCATAAACGATACACATGCGTAAAAGCAAGAAAACACCCATGGAGCCAGCCCGTTCACCGGGATTCGAAATTTGGACTGAACTACCAGTGTTCAGCGATTTTACTGCTCAGGCTTTTTGCCAAGTGTAATCGCAAAACTTTTTGGGTATAATATTCAAACAGTAGATTCGTTATTAAAATTCCTTTTGATAAACTTCAACATAATCACACACAAAAGTGCATCAATATATATATTAAGGTAACTAATCAATCATAATTATTTATAATAAGAAAACTTTCCATATACCATGTCCAAGCAACAGAAATTCAATTTAAAACCCTGAACGAAAAAAAATTTTAGTCAGAATTTAAATAAATAGTTTAATTATTTTTATATTAATTTTTTTTGCAATTAAATTTTTTTAATTAAAATTTAATTTAATATTAGCTTTATGCGAAGAGAGACATTTGTTACATTCAAAATTACAACAATATATATATTGATGCACTTATAAATAATAAAAAAAGCAGTGAATGATTACGTAGCTCAGTAACACAAATGAGCACGCTGATTTAAGCTATTAGAAATATTAATTTGTATTACTGAAAGTTGCTTTTGTATTCAGATCCAAAAATCAGGATTTGTTTGAAAAATGCACAAAAAATACGCATCTCGGCAACCAACAGTCCGATCGGCTCGAAATTTACAATCTTATAATTGCCAGCATATGAAATGAGGTGTGGTCTTTGTTCCAGAGAGATTGGCAAATTAGAAGATTAATTAGCATAATGAATAAAAATGCTCCACTACGTTAATTTCATCCCTCCCAGGACCGAACAGAAACCAGCTTCCCCACCGTCAAAACTCGCCGCTTCCGAACCGCAGTCTGTCAACAAAGATATCGGAAGTGAGGTAAAACTGTATTAGGGCGTTTTTAATTACCCTTCTAATTAGGTTCCTAATTAGCAGAACAGTGTCCAATCAATACCATCCTTCATCCGAACATGTATCAAGCGCAAGATTCAAAATTTGGAATAAATCGGCATATTCGTTCAAAAATTCAGTTAATTTAATGTAACAAAAGTTAAAGAGAAGTAATAAATACATAGAAAATACCATACACTTTTTATATATACTATATGGCAAGCCAGATTGCTTCTTGCAAAAGCATCAGTTACTTTACAGTTATCTCCAAAAATTATATGTTGATAAATAAATGAATTTAAAAGTTTATATGTCAGATAGACCGCCCGGTGGCGAAGTGGCTAACGCTTCGCGCAGCTGCACCGCAGTGTCGGGACTCGATTCCCGGGCTGGGTAAGGTTGACTTAGCCTCTCATCCCTTAAGTTGGTTGATAAAATGAGTACCAAGTTCGCTTGGGGACTAAACACCACAGGTCCTGCAACAAGCCGACCACTTGCTCAGGGCATATGCTGATGCACCCCGGGGCCCAACTTAAGAAAGCTGATTTCTGGGCACTGCAGACCGTGGCCCACTAGGGCTGTTGCGCCACTGAGTTTAATTTCTTTTTTTTTTTTTTTATATCTCAGATAAATTTATTTTTACGAGGAAAAAAGTTTCCCCTTTTCTTTGATTTAATTAATTAGCATACGAAAATATTTCTTTCATTCTGGTTTTTCTCTTATCAGGCACGAATAAAAATTTAAGCTTATTTTTTGTTAAAAGATATCACATGGCAAAAATTATTATAACTACCTTTTCCTAATTACTTTTCAAACTAGAATCATAGGTCATTGATTAATCATTCAAGAGATAATAAGTCGTTCATTTTTTTTAACAAACCTTGTGTAGCCTTTCGTCTTTTTAATATTTTTAATTTATTCTGTTTAATAATTAATAATTATAAAAAATCATAATATAATTAATTATAATTTTAATATAAGTAATAAATTATAAATGTTAGGTACTTTTATTTTAGACTCTTACAAATATATGCATTTACATCATTTTATCTGTATTTTAATATTTTATTCCATATTTGGTTGCATGTTTTTGTGTAAATGTGGAAAGAATAAAACAGAGTCCCTAGCCAGAAAATCTCCAGTTGTAAAACCGATATGCGTTGTTCCATGTATTCCTTTAAGTTTACAATTGTGATGCACTGATATAAAATATATTTTTTGAGAATCATACGTAAATATTTTTAAACTAACTTTTAATTTTAACTGGGGAATGGCAAAGTCGAATTTAATTAAATACAAAGGTAGGTGTTTTTAAAAATATACGCTTACTGTGATCTTGCAATTTTTTTTTTTTTTTTTTTTTTTTGTCTTTTTATTGTGAATTATTTTAAGTTTTGACGGAAATTATGATGATATAAAACTTTTATATGTATATTTTTCTTTTATATTTTCATTTGTTCACTGCTCCAAAATTAAAAAAAAAAAAAAACTTAGTATCTCATCTTTCTCATCTTTATGAGATAAGTCTTTTCAGGTTTCATGTTCGTTTGCCTGTTTTGGCTAAACCTTTCTACATACTCTTAACTGACCTTAAGTGAAAAAAAGCAAAATTTTCAACCCATGCTCAAAATTGGCTTTGTTTGAAAATATATGTAGATAAAAGAAATAGATCGATCTGTGCAAAAAGAAGTTGCAATTCTCGTTCACAACAGTTTAAAATTTGAAACTATGCCCTCTCTCTCTACATATATAGTGAAAGATATACACCATAGGCTAAAACATTTCATTAAAAATTGCGTATTTTATAAAAGGCTAAAATTCAGTAAAGTTTAAAGAGGTAAGTTATAAAATAAGCAATAGTTAAAACAAACAAAATCTAAGCTAGACAATTTAATAGCAAAAAGAATAATATATCTCAGAAAATGAGCAACAGTTGTAATAAAAGCAGACAAGGAAAACCACCACGAAATTAGTTTGTTTTAAAATACACAAATAAAAGATTGCAATTGCTTTCACTGAGAATATAAACACATACACAGTGAGATAAAAATGTATATTTATATGTAGATGTATAGTCTTTATACTGATCCTAAACGGATATACAAACACGCACTTACTTATTCTCACGCGCATATATATATATATATATATATATAAATTCATTCATATATATATATATATACACTTCACTATATACAGATAATGTACGAATTATGTTAATAACATTGCAATTATGACACAACCATAAACAACACGGTTTAAGACGTAAAATCATGAAATTAAACAATGTTTTCTAATTAAAATATTTGATTTGTCCTAAACTTCAAATCAGAATTATGTAAAATAAATTTACTTACGGCGACGCCATTGAAATTAACCTCCAATCCTTCTTCAGGTAAAGTACTGCGTCTGAATGAAATTAAAGTGAAATAATGCATTTTCAAGGTTTCCTTTTAGCTCTGAGCTTACGACCTATACTTCGTCTGTTGAGTTGTAAGGATTCATTTGTAAGGATCAGACTCGCAATCTCAAGAGCAAACAAAAAAATCTTTTGATGACTTATATTTATGGATTACTTCAACTCACTAACTGTGTGTTCAAAATATACAATGTACTACGTTGGTTCTCCTTTTTCTTTAATTAAGCAGCAAATTAGATTAAATTAGTACATCGGGTTAAATACCATTTGCTTATTTGATCAAGCTTAGAAGTTATTTGCTATTCATTCTAGAATTCTGTTCTGGAAAGTAAGGTTTTTCTTTACTTTTGTAAGACAGATTTTAATGGCGCTAAGATTAAGCAGCATGAATATTATTAACAGAGGTCCAATTAAAGAAGTTTTGACTTTCATTAACAATTCGAATTTTGCGAAATCTTTACCCTCATTTTATATCCCTCTGATTGCATTCTTGAAGGAAAAAAAACTAATATCATTTAAGTGCTGTATTGAGCAGATAACAAAGTAATAACAGCTAATAGCTGAAAAATTTCATTTCGAATAATAATCAGTTTTTAAATAATTATTCATAATCTTTAGAAATGGGCCAAATCTTGTATGAAAACAATGTAAAGAACAAACATTAAGCACTTTGTAGCAGATTAATCAGTTTGTGAAGGTTTATTTAGTTTTACTAACACTAGTTTTTAAAGCAACTTCCCTTTCTGGTTCATTTTCACGATTTCCCGACAGAATATTAATAAGCTAGGGCACGTGTATTCAAATGAGGAAGAAAGAAGTGCTACTTAAAGGAAATTTTGTAAGGTGATTTTCGAGCACGTTATACCTGCTTGAAGGCCACATTGCTATCGCCTACTTCTACGAGTCAGAGCTTTTCTTCGCCTTAAATTATCCTGTGAGCTGTTAGGATAAATTCATTTATTCTATTTCAAATTCATCGTTATTTTTTTTAAGCCAGAAGTGTTACCTTTATATAAGCCCAAATACGGCCTTCTGTGCAATTATATTGAGTGAATAAAGGGTTCTTTACGCCCTTTTCTATTGTACTTAAGACCTGGGGATAGTTCCCCATCCAGTCTCTTAGAGCTCGTTAGTTTATGCTACCAAAGACAAAGAAACTCTATATGTTGAATAAGTTAACTTTATATTTAAAATCGAGGAATTCAGTGCTCAGAAAACATGTAATTTTATGACAATATTTTCAGTGATTATGTATATAAATAATAGTCCTCAATACAGTTTTCAGTTACCAAATTCCCATTAGTGTATAAATTTAGGAACGTTGTGAAGTCCTTCCTGAACTCGATTTTCCGCAGTAAATAGCTAGCTGTATAAATATTTTTTAAAGTTTTCTGAATATGGCTTAATATGAATAATATAAATATTTCTTAGAAATCTAAAATTTAGAAATTTTAAGTCATGTCAACAAAGACATCTAGCTTGAAACAAGTAATCAATGCGTGAATTGCCTTAACGATTGAATTTTTAAAAAATCACTTTAAATTTTATATTTTTTATTCAGACTTTTATTTGTGTAATTTGTGACATAATGTTTTTCATAAAGAAATGTAATTCATCTAGGTTTTTTTAAAAAAATTTTCAGACATGAAGGCTTGTAAATTTGATAATTTGTTTTCAAAGCATCATTTCCCAATGCATAATTTGCTGATACATTAATATGTCAAATGCTGTCTTGAAACAGATAAGAATCATTTACTGAATATAGTTATTTTTAACTTAGCTTTTAATTTTTCAAACTTTAATCAAGTGTGAATGTGAATTAATTTAAATTCCTATTTATTTGCTATTTAATTCATGATATATCTCTTTTATATTCACATTTTCGATCATTTCATATAAAACTAAAAAACGCGTTGATCAATTTGAAAAATAATTTTTGAGCCTTTGGAATAGAAGCAGTATGGACACAAATGTTAACATAATATTAGCTCTACATAACATAATATCATATAGTATCCATGTCATTACTCTGTAAGACATGGATACTATAAGATTCTTAAAACTATTTGATATTACCTATTACCAACAGATAATCAGTCGATCCCTTTACTTCTTTGTATACATTGTCCAAAAACTTCAAGTCAGATTTATTATTTCTTTAATTTTTAATTTTGTTCTTTTGAACTGGCATCTGTAAAATTCAAAAACGAAGAAATATACTTGTAAGAGTTCTTCCTATTCCGTGATTTTTTCTCTAATAATGTGGCCAATGTTGCAAAGCCCATTTGCTTATTAAAAATCACTTTAAAGACACAATAACGTTGCCATGTAAGAGAAAGGAATTTGGCCTAAATTGCGCGTTTATGTGAAAGGAAAATGTCAAAAATTTCTGTGCTGTTTACTATGGAGTTCTTAGATATGCAAGACTATCAAGACTAGTTCACGATATGCAAATCAGCAGAATTCTGTACTGACTGTTGGACACAAAATTTGCCATCAGTACATTTTTGAAAGCCTCACACCAAATTCCGTTTCCACATGGTGTACTGTTTCACAGATCAAAAATGCTCACATACCCCAATATTTACATATTCCTAATGTAATGTGATTCGAAAGAAAGAATGGGGTATTTTCTTCTCTTAATCAATGAACGCCAATGGCTGAACAAGAATTAGTTGTTAATTTTTGTTACAGAAAATGAGGCTGAAAAATCAGAAAATTTTCTTTCAATCAATAAAGATTCAGTTGTTGAAGAGTGACTAGCAGCCCAGATGTGTTCATAAAACAATATACGGCCGTTTTTCAATCAGTAAGAATGTACCTGAACAATGACGAGCTATCTAAAGGCGCTACGGAAAATAAAATTTGTGAAACGAAACTCCTTTTCCTTAATTAATCAAACTCCAATTCTGATTCTCATCTATTCATTGTCAAACGATTTCTGAGGCTATCAAAAAGGGATAAGGATACTTAGAGCGGTTTTTTACTATGCATTCCCATTTTCAGAAGTTTTCAGTATTGTAAAATACTCTGGTATTCAGCTGGCATTACTCGTACAATGACTGGCACTACTCGTACAATGACTAGCACCTGTAGGACAGCTTTTGTTTATTCCTTCATATGACTATCCGGTGTCCACTGTGTTAGTAGTTAAGGACATTTTCTTCTCCAGACAAATATTTGGAAGTGCAGAGAGCATCTGATTGTGGGCAACGCACGATTTTTCCAACTCAGAAGTATTGACTCCAATTACCTGCATATATCTATGTGACTTTTATCAAACTCCGATACATTCGCTGCTTTTTTCAACTGGAAAAAAATTAAGAGATATGAAACAAGAATACTTATAAACTAAAACAACATTGAGCGTTAAAATAGTGAAAATGTTTTGAGAAATGATCCAAAATTAAATCATTTTTAGGGAATATGACATGGTTCTTTGTTCTTCAAGCAGGAAAAATATGCAACCTTATATTACCGGTGTAGTGGTTAGCACACTGAGTCGGTATTTTCAGAGGTACATGGTTCGATTCCTGGCAAAGGCAATTGCTAATTTTTCATCTCTGCTGCTTCAAAATAATCCTAATGTCTCTACAGTGGCGCCCGAACTAAAAAGGTTGGCGGATAATGAATTCTCCTCATTCAGGATTTGGCGATTTTGTCCCCTAAAAAACTCCACCCGCCCTTTAAAAGAGGGAGTATATAAGGTATTTCTCTCACCTTCCTAGCGTGCCTTCTTGGTGTAGTGGTCAGCACACTGAGTCGGTATTTTCAGATGTCCGATTGCTAATTTTTCCCCTCTCCTGCTTCAAAATACCCTAATATCTCTACGAGGTGTGTCAGAACATTTTCGTTTTTTGGGGCATGCAATTTAACCAAGAAAATACTATTGAAATAGCTTTTCTTCATTTTAATGTTTACATAAATATTAATTTCAATTTGGGGGCAGATAGCAAACGACAAAGAATGTCTATCGTTTCAAGAGTACATTTATTTTCACAACAATCCTCAGATTAAATTTATTTCATAACTTCAAATAGCTTTTAAAATGCAATAAGAAAAATTTTTTAAAAAATGTATCTTTTTTAAGCAGCATATATCTAATATATGAAAAAGCAGTCAATATTTTTTCCATCTTGATTCACAAATATATATTATGAAACAATAAATAATTATAAATCAGTAGATAAATATTCTAATGGTAATTTATCGTAGTTTATCAATTCTAAAAAAATAACTCTTTTTAATTTAAGTTTAATTTTATTTTAAAAACATTTTAAAACAACACTGTGTTGTAAGTAAAGAAAAACTGCTTACAGATTTTCTTCACCCAAATAATAATACTGAGAACACAACTGAAGCAATAAGGAATAGCAAAGTATTAGAACAGGATTTAAAAGAAGATTTTGTTGTAAAATTCAAAATTTTCTAAAAGTATTTGATCTGTATTTACATCAAACAAAAAACAATTTATAACAGTAACTTATTCGCAAGGAACTGGTACGCAATACAAAATTCACCTTTGTTTCGATGGCTTTTATCTTGAAAATTACTGGAGTGTTTACTTTTAATATGTAAGAAAATAAAATTAAAGATTAAGTGATTTTATGTGAAATAAATATACATATATCCTGTTTTGGTTTTAATATGTACAAATTTTCTTGTTTTTTATAATTTTTCCTCTTGGAAATGATTTTTTTTTTTTTTCCAATTTTGTAATCTTTTTTAACTTGCGTTTTACCACTTTATTCTGTTACACGGAGTAAATAGGTTTAACCTTTAAATATTTAATACGGTATTTTTTTTGTCAGCGTTTTCGAGAGTTTGATTTATTATATATATACTGACTAGTTTAGTAAAATTTATAAAAAAATAGCATTACGGTTTTTCACCGTGATGCATTTATTCGGTTTCTTTTATTTATCAAAATAATAATTTTTGCTGTTAAAACCCTGAAACTTACCTCCGAAATCTATTCAGATCGTGAAGTTTCAGAATTTGGTGTTGAGTACCAGCATAAACTAAATGCAAACCTCCTAATAGACTTACAGTGAACTATCTCTGTGTCTGAAAAGAAGCGTCAAGTCTTAAAACGGTTAAACAAACCTTTTATTAAATCAGAACTGGAACGCGAATGCACATTTCGTGCTTGACAAATCCGCCAATCATTTGTGGCAATCTAACTTAACGTAACAGTCAATTTTAAGATTTAAAAGTAAACCTAGCATCCAAAGGCTACACAGTTGATTTAACACAAAGTTGACTCAAACATCTCACCGACGTAATGATTTAAATATCGTCAGTTATAATGCAAAACCGAAGAATCACAATCTTATCAGAGCTCGCGAAATCTAGCAACAACCGAGAGGCAGAAACACGTTCTGTCTTTCAATCCGAAAACCTCGCCTTAAATTCTCTTAACTTGATTTGAATTCTGGTAGGAAAACGGAAAGGAAAAGTAAAGATCTAAATCATAATAACTGGTTAGATTAACATATTTTAACCTTACAAGATAATATCTTGCAAATTACTGGCAAATACGTTCCATGATTGCAGAAATAAAACATACAGAGTAGCTCATTGTATATGTCCATAATTTTTGACTTCTTCTTGCGCAGAATTGTTAAAGAAATTTCAATCACTAAAATCTTTTCATTAAGCTATGTATCACTTACATCCAAAACCAATTCGGTGCCAAATTTAAAAGAAAGAAGTATATAATTTGATGAGCTATAGTGAAAATATATTGTAAGAGGCAACATCAGATCATAATTAACACATCATTTTGAATTCTTCCGAACAGATTCTGAATTTGGTCTTAAAAGATGGTATTTAGAAACTGCCACAATAGCCTTCACAATGATTTACGATATTACATTTTTAATTACGCTTATGATAAATACAAAAAAATGTAACATTCTTTATTAGAATTATGTAACTTTTTATATGCTTCACTTTAATCATTAGTCACAGCCAGCTTACAAAATAAAAAGATTACAAATTTTCGATAACTTTTTTAAGACTCTTTCTAACAATAAATTGAATTTTTTTTATCTAAGAATAGAGTAATAATTACGTATAATTAATATAAGTAATACGATATAGACAAAATAATAATCGTTTTTTTTTTGTGATTTCGAAAATCTTACAATTAATATAATTTTTGATTGAATATATTGAGAGTTTGATTTGCTGTATTAGCATAAACATGTTTCAGACTCCTAGCAGACGTACAGCGAATTATCACTGTGTTTGAAATTAATTACAAAGTCTTGGAAATATTTTGAAACAACCTTTTATTTAAGCACACCTTAGAACCTTAACACATTCCTTGTGCTTGACAAGATCAAGCATCACATGTGGTGATGTAACTGAAATAACAGTCAATGAAAATTTAAAAAGTAAACTAATAATCAAAGGCAACAGAATTTAATTTATATCGAACTTTACTCAAACCTCTAATTCTTTTGTTGAGGAAACTGAAAGAAGAAGTTATAGTAACGGCTGATAATAAATAACTGGTTAATTTAAAATAATAGTAACGTTATAACTGAGACTCAGTCATTAACATCAGATTCCTTACAGAAAATATATATGTATCGATTGTCTACTGGTAACATATGGTTGCTAAATATGCAGTTTAATTAATTATAAACACAGTACTACTATTCTAACCCTAGAGTATCTGAAGAGAGAGGCATATATTTTTAATATTTTGAAACAGTTTGTTATTAGTATGCGGATACAAAAATAATATATTTCATAGTTTCTTGTCTTCGTTTATTAACTAACACGTCTAAAATTACTAATCCACAAAGTAAATCTGGTAATCTAATAGTAATGATTGGTTTAAGTGAAATATAAATATTTGTATTAAAGAATATAATTTTGATTTAAATAAAGGCTTTTTTGAATTAATTTTGCCTTCGATAACAAAGTTACAACGTTTGTTCATAAAAAGAATGGCAACGTTTGTTCATAAAAAGAATGGCATGTAAAATCGTATTTTTCAACTTTACAGGCATTTTTTTGAACTAAACTGTAACTATGCACTAAACGCAGGTCAAGATACTAACTAAAAAGTGATACCAACATGAGCAAACGTTACTCAGAAATAAAGATTCATCCACTAAATGGAAACTTTCCAAAGTCTGGTTGCCGCCTTTCTAATTGCATGACACGAAATAAAATAAATGCAGCTTGACTCTAAGTCAGCTTCACCTCAATTCAAAATTATTGATTATGTTTTCGTTACTTCTGTTGTCGAATACGCCCTGTTCATTGATTCAGATTGTGTGATTGATGCCACCACAGCGAAATCGTCGAAAGAATAGGAAAAAGCCGGTAGGGAAAAGTCCTGTGCCTCTGGAGACACGCCAGAACGTGTAAATATATTTAGACTGACATCAAAAATATCCTTTCGCTTCCGTAGGCTGAGTTTCGAAAACTCAAATCAACGCCAGAACCGGGTTCTGAACAATCCGAAGAGAACGAGGTGTGTTTGTCGCCAGTTCCTGTACCTGATTTTCCTGTTAAGCCTTTTGTCAAAGTGTGTTTGAATACCGCGTATGCAATCGACATGCCCAACCAGGTGAAACATTCAGTGAAAGAGGACTTGTGATTTTTGGACGAAAGCCAAAGCACCTGCATTTGAAGTGAAAAAAGTATCTATTCGTGTATTCCAAAACGAAAAAGATACGAATTGCGTAGTTATATAGATTTAAGAAATTAATAACGAGGTTTATCTTTGAAGTTTCTGTCGACAGCCACTTCGCGTCCCTACGTGAAAGATTATGTGTTTCCTCAGTACACCTCGCATCTTTCCAAGGAGCAATATGTCGAAATATTTGCTGCGCTGATTAGTAATCTTCTCAAATTCCAAAGACATTATTATCCCCATTAATATGCCAAAGACTGACAAAATTTGATGAATATTGATACTTGTTTTTCATTTGGAAAAACGGTTGCAATAATGAGCAAATGTGTCATCGAAAGCTTTGTGTTGATATCAAAACCAGATTATTTTAATAACTTTCCTGATTGGAAGATTTACGCAAACTGTGTCTCAATTAAGTACTGTTCGTGTGCTTTAAGGAAATGTTGCTACATAATGAAAATGGAGTTAAATAATTTCATTAATAATAGGTTCCTAAAACATCACTGATGAAAAAACGCAATGTGACGTAAAAGCTTTCCCTAACCACCAACAGTGTATGCCTCCTAATAGCAGCGGTGCGCCAAAACCATTGCTCAACCTATCGATGCGTCGGGGTGTACCGCCGAGCGCTGGGAGTACAACACCCTTGGCGCTGCATAGGTCCGAGTTTGAGGATTTTATGAATGCATACCGTCCGAGTTTGGACGCCGCTCGCCGAGAACCAGAGCATTCGAAACCTGCAGAAGAATCGAAAGTTGACTTCGGTCGTTCCATTAAAAAACTTATGAAGAAACCTCAAAACTCGCCAAGCGTCATAAAGAAAAACCATCGTAAAGAAGGCATTCAAAGGACACCGACAGTAGCCCCCGGATCTAGTAGTCGCCTGGAAAGGGAAAGAAGTGTTGCCAGTGATGTGAGGCCTGTAACAGAAAAGAAACCAAAGAGGCCTGTTTCAGCTCACTTGGAAGTAACTCCTCTGACGGATTATGGACCTGCGATAATGCCACCGGACATCACTATTCCTAAACTTGAGATTCCCCCAACTTCTGCACCTCTGATTCTCCCTAAAAATCCTTCTGCTCCAGTGGCTTCCCCTAAAAATCCTCCTGCGCCTGTAGCTTCCCCTAAAAATCCTCCTGCACCTGTGGTTTCTCCTAAAAATTCTTCAGCACCTGTGGTTCCCCCTAAAAACCCTAAAGCGGTTCCTAAAATATCTAAAGCTAAACAAGAAGACCAGCTTAAGGTGATTTCGGACAGCGCACCTGTACTACCTGTTGCTCCATCAATAGTCCCGGCACCTAACCTCAACCAGGTGAAGAAGAAAGTATCTATTCAGGAAGAAAAGCGGAGGTCAGGAACCGAGACTTTCCCAGACGCCCACTGCCTAATTATATCCGGAAATAACATTGGTCGGTTTATACCACCACGTCACGTGAGTAGTAAGAAAAAAATTAACGTCATATGCTTATTTAAATCTATTCTGATGCCGCTAATACTGAAACTGTAGTAGTTGTTATGATATCTTTTTATGGGTTTTGGCGAAGGTAGGTCGTTCGTAAATATAACTTTTAGTTCGTAATATCCAGGACTTGTCTTCGAATGAATTATTACAAGGGTCGGGCTACAAAAATACCATTAGAAACCTGTAAGTAGGAGGAGGGTAAAGACATTATGACTCACTAAATTTTTGAAAAGCATTATTCGGTATTTGAAAAGTGCATATAATAAATCGTGAAGCTGAATAATTATATGACATAAAAATGAAATTTCCGTACAAACCCTTTACTGGTTTTGCAATAATGTTTTAATGAAAATAATTTCTAGTTTCTTAATTCTTTTTAAACTTCATAGTTTTATAATTAATGGATAATACTTATTGTTGCATTATGTCAAAAGTATGTACACACACATATATATATATATTCGAAATTTCATTATCTCCTTTTCTTAGTAAAAACATAATGCACACCAAAAGATGCAAACTCATTACTGTTTCTTTCTTATAAATGATATTTTATAAAATTTATATAATTGATTTTTGATTGAATAATATGTTATAAAGAACATTTTTTAAATTTCTGTGCTCCATAATAGTTGTTTCAAATAAGAAATACACATTACCTGTGAAAGGCAAAGGTTTTAAAATTAGTGTTTTGTATTCTTTACCATAGGGTTTAGCATTCCACAGATTAACTCTCATGAGCCTATGTGTTTTATATCTATTAAAATTGCTTAAGTTCATTCAGTTCCAATTTGCTATTCGCACTTTTATTGATGTACTTGTTTTTCTTTTCTGTTTAAGCTTAAATATTTGCATGCTTATTAATTATTCTGTGGATGGATGTAGAGGTGAACATCTTAAAATTAAAATGATTATATTTTTAAATATAATTTTTTGGTTCTTTTATTTCAAATTTCAGAAGTACAATTTCTTAAGTGTCTATTGACTGAACAAATAAATAAGAGAAGTGAAAAGCAATAAACAAATTTTGAAATGCAAACTTTCGTGAGTGTAAATATATTATGTTATATTATATGCAAATTTCAAATCTTGCAAAACACTTTTCAAAAGAATTTTAACACAATTTTGTATGTAAATTAAAATTGGAGGCATCTGCGATTTAAAAGTGATTGTAATACTTAACCAAGCATGAGTGTGTTTAATAGCAAAAAAACAAAGAGAACTTGCAATATAACAGGTTTCAAACTAGGGAAAATTGGTTTTCTTGCTTGTTTCTTCAGTAAACGAATGTAATCCATGTAACCGAAGCGCAGTTACAGACTATATATTTTACAGTCTTTAACTGTGTATTAATTGTACAGTCTCTCACTGTGAATGAAATAATTGGAATAATGGTTATTATTTTTGCAATATTTTTTCTAATACTTTCCGAAATTTGAAGTGTAGCTGATAATTATAGCAATCGCATTAAATGAGAAAGTTGTTTGCGGACATGAAAAGATTTTTGTAGTAATTCAGTTTAATCATTCCTAAGCCCAGAATCGCAAGTCAAATATTAAATAAATTATTAAGTACATATTTTTTTCTCTCATACAGATATAATATCCTAAAAGTAAATTATAAACAGACCAAAGCTGTGTAAAATACCTGAGGAAGACAGAAGAATAAAAATTATAAATTTCAAAGAAATTAGAATTATATTGCAATCTCTCAAGAACAAACTGGTTACAATTAGCGCGCTACTGTTGAATCTATGTTGATACAACTAGTCAATAACTGAAGACTAAAATTGGTGAAACATAGTTATTTGGATTGATAATTTAACGTATATTTTTAACTTCAACAATGCTATTGCAGCTATTCGCGCTAAGGATTTGATATATTTCTGTGCTTTTGAAGTACAGGTTTTTATTTTTCAGTTATCAATATAGATTGTGTATTTTTTCTTGCTTTATTGCTAATGACTGCTTCCTTACATTATAAACAAAGCTTTAATCCTAGTAATTCTTAATTTTGTCTTAATTTTTAAAACGGATTTTTCTTTGGTGCCTTTTATCTACATGTTATCGATATTATAAATGTTATTAAATTTTGGAAACATTCCCTCAATTTCTAATCATGTTCTTTTAATAGCAATCACATTTTCAACAAAACAAACAGCGCAGAACTAATTTTTTCCAATTTAAAACCTAAGTTATTTCTAGTGCTGTTTCATTAGCCTGGAGAACAAAAAGTGTGAAAGTGTGACAGCTAGTAGGATTTATAATTCAAGATGACTATTTGTTTAACTCCATCATAGAGATAAGGAAACATAACATTTCTTGTAGAACAAACATTTAAACGTTCTTTCTACTTTTAATTTTGCAGAATATAAAAATTTCGAAATGTAAGAAGAATAGATTAATTGGAAAAATGGTTATATTATTTGCAGTATTTAAGATATATAATGATGGAAAATAAAATAATAAATAAAAAAAATCTGAAATGTTTCAGATTTTAAATTACGTCCAAAGGGGCGTTTTTTCAACGTTTTGTGTGTTACCTTCATTCATTAAATATCATGTTCTTTGCCCTTACCATAAAATTCAGTTCAACAGCGATATTACAAAATATTTAAAAGAGCATATCTTTAGAATTTCTGATACACAGTCTCAAGCGCTGAAGATAAAAAAAAATCCCCCCCCGTAGAGTGTTGCCATTGCTCGCTTTGAAATCCTTGAGTTTGTTAATCAAAAATTCGTTAAAGGTTTACAAAATATGAAATCGATAATAAAATAAATTCCAAATTTTAAATTTGGTCTTCCACATGCCCATATTTAGAGGAGGATTTCATTCAAAATTCGATGGGTCTATGTACCGTTGTTTTATCACAATGCGAGAAATAGACATACATTTATGCAGATTTTTCATTATTTAATTTCTTGAAATATAAAGCAGAACTCTAACATTTGGTGGCAACAGTTTGAAAAATGAAACGGACATTTATGGTGATTCAACTCAAAATCGCAAAACGAAACAATAGTCCTTCAGGGACAAAGCCTCTTTGGACTAATAAATTTAAAATCCTTCCCATATTCGATTCGGAATAAACTATATGAAAAAATCAAAATGCAGATGCACACTGGCAAATCTCAAGAAAAAGAAGGCAAAACATGCCAAAAGCAAAAATTAAAAATGTTATTTACATCTTTCGTTGTTCAGGAGTTTGGTTCATTGAAAGAAGTAAATAAATAAAATATTTTGTTTCTGAGCTGACAAGAATACAAATTAAAATTCAAAATTTTAAAATAATCTTAATAATCTCTTTTTTTTTATGCTTCTATGTTTGCACTGCTTACTTCCGTCTGCATGGGTGGGCTGACAGAAACATGCATTACTTTGATTGGTTTACTAAGATTATTTTTAAATTTTAAATTTTAATTTGTGTCCTTGTCAGTTCACAAGCAGTTTATTTTGTTTATTTACTTCTTGCGTTGCATTAACCCCTGATGACGATGCAGCGAAATACGTAAACAACATATTTCATTTTTTTGTCATGCTTTGCCCCCTCCCGATTTCTTGAGGTTAACCACTGTGCTTATATTTTTACTTCCTTGTACGAAGTAAAAAGGAAGTATTGTAATCGCGAAAAGTTTCAAGCAGCATATTTCAACGAAAATATCCATTTTGACCGCTATCAAATGCAATTTAACGATGTTTTTGCGTGATATCTGTACGTAAGGACAGAATAAAATACTCTTTTCCTTCAAAAAAATTATAAAACTGCTTTAAAATTAATTCTGAAGAGAATTTTTCGTGGCGTCTGTACGAACGTATGTACGTACGTACGTGCGTGCGTACGTACGTATCTCGCATAACTCAAAAACGAGTAGACTCAGAAGGTTGAAATTTTGTATATAGGACTGCGATAGCATGTAGATGTGCACCTCGTATTTTGATTGCAATCGGCCGCACCAAACGTATATAAATATATTTATATATATATCCACTCTGTTACCCGGCTCAGTGATCTCAGTTTCTTTACTCTTATATGTTTGTAAATTGTACATTTTTTGCTTTAAAAATGATTGTATTATGTTGTTTTTTATCTTCCCGGTTAAGGTTTTCATGCCTTTAATAATCTGTATGCAATATTTTAGAATTATCAACAATTTTAAAGTTGTCTAAGTGCCGCTAAGCCTTTTTTTTTATGGCGACCATTGATGTTTACATTTGAAACAGGAGACTAGTGGATTTGTTGCCAATCTAGAGAAACTTAGCTTCGCAACAACAAAAATAACGCATTTATTTATTATTGCGAATTAAATTATGCTTAATTCTTTCTGGAATTTTTTCGAGGAAATATGTGTTTAAGGTTTACTTCGTAATTTTTAATATAGATATTTTGAGTTTTTATGCATTTTTGCCTTCTCGCGAAGTGAGAACTGAATTAATTAAATGAGAAATACTCAATGGTCTGTAAAAACTGTTTTTTTTTTTTTTTTTTTTTTTTTTTTTTTGTTTTTGTGTGTGTGTGTGTGTGTGTGTGTGTGTGTGTTTGTTTGTTTGCTTAATTTCTTTTATACATCATTCTAGCTTTATTATGGTATTTGAATAGAACATGTGGCAACGATCAGATAATTCTATTTTTTAAATGATATAAATTTTGTGCATTATGATTTATAATATGAACGAAATATATAAGTTAACTGTTATATAATTATTGGATTATATAACAGTTAACTTAGTTTCTGTTATATAATTATTATATAAGTTAACTGTTATACAATTATTAATACTGTTAAGTGAATCTAGCGCCAGAGTGTCGCTATGGTAAACAAATGCTAGAGTGAATTTTAAAGAATGCATTTATTCTATTGTGGTTTATGCGCTGTCGACGAAGTAGATTTAATTCAATCCATTAAGTTTAAATGAAATGCAAGAAAAAATGCGTATAATTTAATATTCGGTACAAGGAAGTCATGTGGTGC